TATGTTCTGTGTAAAGTTTGAAAGTTTGACTTGTATAGTTTTGATTAAAGCATGAACCACATTTTTATAAAAAGATAATAAAAAAAATTTAATTGAAAATTGCTAATATTAAGCAAAAAACAGCATGCACTCACTTTTGATTGCCAGTCTATGTATGTGTGTAAACTTTATGCCAAACTATCATTATTTTAAATTGTATTTGCATCTTCATAAAAGGAGAACAAGATAAAAAATTTAACAAAAATTACAAATTAATGAAAATTATGTGAAGATTTACCATATTTTCGTTTATTTGCTCACAAAGAACATCACATTTCATGTTGCTCAACATTGTATTATGTTATCAACATTAAATTCAACAGAATTTTTACATTCCGACTTGAACTTTTCTAACGCTGTTAATTTTTCGTCCGCGAATAGTTTCCACTTTCAGTTTGCACCTTCTCTATCTATCTAAGTTCTCTGGCAGAAGCAACTGACGAACTGCGAAAGCCGATCAATTTCTTCTGCTTCTGCTTCCGTACTTTTCAATAAGCAAGCATCAGCAAAATGCCTTTGCTGATAAGCATCGCATTCGTGCCGGAGAGCAAACAATCGTTTACTTGTCAGCTCTTCTCGTACTGCTGCTGTGGCTGTTCGTTTTTTTTCGAAGCAAAAGCATGAATATTGCTTTTGCAGCAAGACAACTTCAGAAGCATAGCATCAGCATATTTTCGTTGCTTTTGCTAATACTGCTTAAGCATTTCAAACCCTGGCTAATACTAAAAATTTAGATGAGCTTTTGTTTTTATACAAAAAAAAAATAGTACATATTTAAAACTATTTTGATAAGAGAGAAGCAAACAAAGATATATTTGGAAACCGATAGAAAAAATATGTACATACATATATACAATAAAAGTTGGCTCATTATTTCCAGGCTGGGGCGTGTCCCGTCGTGCCGGGCCAGGCCGGGCCGGGCCCCACTAAAATTCTTAACGTGCGGGCTCGTGCGTGTTTTTGAAAAATGATTTTGCACTCGTGCCGGGCCGGGCCTGAAAATTTAGGCCCGTGCCCATCTCTAATCAGAAGCACTTATCTTCGGTTTAGAAAACGGTAATAGTCCTGGCTAGACACATTGTAAAATAATCAGATGACAAGAGGAACACTAAAAAATTTTAAAATACTTACATATACTTATGTATATGTTCACTAAAATTTAATTAACCTAAACATAAAGTCTTTGGGAAGTGGTCATCGCATTTAGTGTAAAATTTAAACATTTTTAAGATAAGATTTGAATTACTTTTAAACGATAAATGTTATTTAAACTATTTTATACATAATCCCAAATTTGTGATATAAAATCCCCTCTACCAAAAAACTTAAATTGGGTAACGCCGCTTCGAATTTTTAACAATTGAGCAATTGTCAAAAATCTGCTTTTTAGGGCGTGTGTGAATCTGTAACAAAGTTCTATGGGGTAAGCTGTTGAATAATACTTTTACTATGGTGAGACAGTTTTGCCAATCTGCTGTGTGAAATTAAATATTTTTTGACAGCAGTAAATTTTTGATAACCGCAGATGTATGCGGAATAAAATATTACAAATTGAAGTGAAATTAATATTTTTAGAAAACATCTACCATCGTTGATTGCAATTCATCAATTTAAGCTTTTATTTAACGAAAAATTACACACATCAACAATCTTTGCGATCGTTAAAATTGCCTATGCATTTGGCAAAAATTTCACTAGCCTCATGAGCTACTGAAATTTTATTCACCTCATAGTTGTCAAAAATTTACTCGCCGCGAACTTTGTTGCCGATTCACACACGCTCGTAATCAAAAAGTTGTTTATTGAAACTACCTTCTTTTTTGTATCATGTGAATACCTAAAATGATTTGACACTCGTATGAAAATGAACAATGCAAGTGAACACCAAGAATAAAATGTCAAGCATGATACAAAAAAGAAGGTAGTTTCAATAAACAACTTTTGACGGATAATAAAATTTTTTGAAGTTTCATAAATTGTGAGTATTATCAAACGCCTTGCCAATTTGATAATATTAAAACAATAAATCAGAGTATTTACTTCCCACATTTATACCAATGTAATAATATTTCACTCGCACTATTTTTATTAAAAATATATAAAATATAGTTAAAGAAGACTTCATCCTAATTAGTATTTTTATTTTATAACAAAAATCACGCTCGCATTATGCTTTTATTGTTTCGTTTTCTTATTTTGAATGCAATCTTGCGATTTAAACATCTAATTCTAAAGAATGTTCTTCCCAAATAAAACCTTTTCATATTTTGAATCAAATTTACATTTAAATTTATCATCAGATTTTGCAAAAAATTTGGCTTTTTGATAAGTGAATCACCATTAATTTCACAAATCTTGATTTCATATATATCGACCCATTTGCGCAAGATTATCGTATGTTACATTTTTTACGAAATTCACTTTTTGATACTACTTGGTTTTACAACCCATAACGCATCACCTGTTAAAATATTACGGCTTAAATCCCAATAGCTACCCCAAAAATTGACTGTAAATTTTATTGTTTGTGACAACGATTTTTTTCTTGTGGGCGAAATTATCATATGTGCTAAGAAATTAGAATGTAGTGACCTTACTACTAAAAAAATCTTATTTTAAGTTATATTTCTGAGTTATCTCAGCAAATTTAAACTTTGGTATTGATGGTGCTAGCCAAAGCAGAGAAAAATACAAAAAACACTTTCCTGTAAAATTTGGTTTTTGTAACATACAATAATTTTTCGCAAAGGGGTCGATATCGTCGTATAAAGTACAAAACCGCGTATCAACAAAACGCAAAACTGCGTATGTGAGGTTGCATAAATTATTTCTGAGAGTAAAAACACTCATATTTCAAAATCGTTCACTTTTTACAAAGCAATCGAATAGTATAAGTATTATAAGGCGTGAGCCAAGAGCTTGTGTGAGCAAATCCATTTTTTGGCAAAAAATGTCAGTTACGCGGTTTTGCAGAACGACGATACGCGGTTTTGTACTTTAAACGACGATATGTATGTATAATATAATATATATCGTCGTTTAAAGTGCAAAACCGCCTATCGTCGTTTTGCAAAACCGCGTAACTGACATTTGTGCCAAAAATTAGATTTGCTCTTCGGAAGCTCCAGGCATAAAGCCTTATCTATTCATACCAATATATCGATATTAGACCATGTACTGCAAAATAACAGCATAGTTTCAATACCGCTGATTAAGAGTAGCATATATTTTTAATCTCTCCTGTAAAATCTTTGTGATATTACATACGTGGTTTTGCATAATCGTGATACGCGGTTTAGTACTTTAAACGACGAAATAATGATAATGTATATAATGATCACTTTCTTCATGCGTTCTGAAACCTAGTCGTCAACCTCATTTTAGAAATTATGTAGCCGGCATAATTTTCAAGTGCATCATATTCCACATCTTTGAATGTACTGATAAAATCTTCTGCTTAAAAAAAATATTTCTTCTAGCGATCAGGAAGCATGAATTTGATGAAATGTCACAATTTTATTAAAAGTCAAATGGTTAACAACAACAGCGAATGTCATTAAATGGAACTACCTTCTTTTTTGTATCATGAGTCAAAGTATAAAAAATAGACATAGATGTGATATTATATCAAAAGTAGTGATGACAATACTTTCAAGCTATAATTCCGGCACCGGTAGAGGTATCTAAACAAAACTTTGTTTCAAATCTGCCAATTCTTCTTGGGCCAGGTTTCATAGGAGATATGAATTTTTTCAGCTCTTATCCACTGTGCATCGTTATAAATAAAGACACATATAATGCAATTAAATTTGTCAGAAATAAGTAAGTTTATATTGATGTGAATTACTACTGTTTGGACATAGATTGGTAGGGATCCCATTTATAATAATATTAATGAGAAATTGAATGGTATGGTTTAAAGAATGCAAAGAATAAGTGGTTATATTTGTAGGAGACATTTTAAATAATTTGTTTTTATTTGCGGGGAATTCATGTATCTTGTGTTCCAATCGTGTTCGTTGATGTGTAACACTTTGTAACCCATCATTTCCAAATGTTTTGTTCTGAGGTGTTCAGCCCCGCGCATCGCAGTTAGATCGTTTTCACAGTAAGAATCAAGCCGCAGCAGCAATATTGCAACTCTGAAATTTAATAATGTATAAATTAAATATATATATACATATATGTAGAAGTAGTTAATATAGGTGGAAAAATGATTTTAATTAAATTTTATTGTTTTTCTTTTTGCATATAAATTGAAATTTTAAGGTTTAAGCAAATATGTATAAGTTTTCCGGTATCCTCAGAAAATCTCTAGGCTGTGTGCGAGTACGTCTAAATTGCTACCTAAATAGAGAAAAATTCTAAATCACTGGAAAATGTTGGTAATGCAGTGAACACGAACAATTTAGATTTTTTCCGGGCATACTTTTGAACCTAAATTGAACTGTGAAATATAAAAGGGCGCGCGATTAAGCGAACAATTATTTGTTCAGAAGTTTTAAGAAATTTGAATCTAAAAGTAGAATTTTCAATATTTTCAAAAACTTATTTTTCGAAAATTATTGAGCCAATTTTCAAAACGTGTATATGGTTGGAAAGGTAATTGAAATACCTTCCATTAAGTATGTATACATATCTATATATATATAAAATATACACATTTCGAGAAAAACGAGATTATGTCCCTTTTTAAATCAAAACGTATGTTCTTAAAATAATACGTAATCAATTATAATATATGTATATCAGAACAAAACAATATTTAAAAACAAAGTGAAAATTCGGAAAAATTGTATCTTTTAATATAGTTAATTACGTATTTTTTTAAGAAAAATATAAATTTTTATTAAAACAATTACTATAATTTCGTTTTTTTCGTACATTATATATATAGGTATATATATCAAATGAAAGGTATTACAATTACCTTTCCAACGTTTTGAAAATCGGTTCAATAATTTTCGAAATATAAGATTTTGAAAATAGTGAAAATTGTACTTTTACCACCCCAAGTATCGCACCTAATTAATTTGCACCAAATAACTTTTATACCGTTAAAATCAATGGAAGAAGGCCAAGTCTACTTTTTCTTTTTTTCTTGCTGAACGGGCCCTATTTTTCACTTATACCTACGGTGACCATCCGCCCTGTATTATACGGTACAGTCCTCTGTTTTCGTCAGTTGTCCTGGTAATTTAATTATTTTATACGGGACGCCAAATGTTCTGTATTTCTTTTAATGTCCCTTATTTGTCCCGTATTCGGTATTTTGGCGCCTTAACAGCTCATAAAAATTACATGCATAAGAACCAGATTTTATTAAAAAAAAGGACGCTTGTGATCGAATCGAGGAGCACATATGTATGTAGATGTTTTCTGAAGTTATAATTTTGCGTAGAAAAACTGGGTATTTGTGGGTATGAATAGAAATTAGACATTAATGATTGTTGTTAAAATTTCTAAAAGAAAGGCTGACTTCCAAAACGTATCAATACAATGTTTGGAAACTGTTATACTGCGGTATTCAAACTGTTTGTATATGCAGAGTTGCGACACATTGCAACCATATACATTGCATATTTTAAATATTCAATATAGCAATGAACAATTTTTCTGAATTTTCCATATTTAAAACACCAATGCTAACCAATAACAAACGAAGCATCAACTTTGTTTCTGATGCGCTGATTGCTCAAGCGATACGTTTCGATAACTAATCGGCTGCGTTTTGGAACAGTATACATTGTCAATATTTTGTAGTTCGACGTTAAGGAACCTTATACTTTGTACGTATACAAAGCAATTGACGTTTTGGAAGTCAGCCAAATTTCACTAATATTTAGCTTTTCAAAGGTTTTTTCAACGCATTTCACGTTGAATATTCTGTGTGGAGCAAAGCATATTGAATAGGTAGCAGCAGTAGAGCAGCTGATTTTACTTTTTTACTCTAAACTTTCAAACTTTGTTTACGTATATGGATTCCCAAACCAAAAAGAAAATGCACGTAGCTTGCTGTTTTTCTCGGGTACTATTACCTCTCCAATGTGCCGTAGCGTGGAGGCAATTTTTAAATTTTGTGAAGGGGGAGTATGTTCATTAGGCTAACCTACGGCAAAAAAAATGTTTGCTCATTGTATGAGGGATTGTATTTGCGACATGAGAAACTCCAAATAAGAAGGCTACTATGAGAATGTTGTAAAAGTAAAGAAGTTCTCAAAGATGGAAGGGAAGTGGTACGCTTTGCAATTCAGCTCATTCCGGATGCTATTCACTGCATTGTGCTTGGCCGAAATCCGAGACTGAAAATAATCCGTTGAATACCACTTATGCTTCAAAAGTAGTCGGATATTTTCCCTGTTTAGGAATGTTTGTAACAAATTTTACGATGTAAAAAACCCGAGTACAAAGTGCAAAGTTATCGAAGAATATTCTACAAATGTGTGATGTTGCAGCTGAATATTTATGAGTTGCGTTCACAAAAGATCGAAAAATATATGCTAAATAAAGATGCTGTTTCAGGGCTAATAAATCTGGGATCATTGAAAAAGATTTTCAAATACTCTAGCTTTTGTGGAAAAATTGACAAAATTATTTTTTGTCCCGTATTCGGCTGCCATAAATATCGTCACCGTACTTATACCCAAACAATTTAGGTTGTCAAATTAACTCGCACCGTTTTAGCAGTTGTTTTCCTAAACTGTAGCAGTGCTGGAAATTTCCAGTGGAATATTAGTTTAGGTACTAAAATTTAGATCAACTCGCACAAGGCCTTAAAATGTTTTCTGTAAATTCATCTCCCATTTACTCAACCAGTTTGCGATGAACGCTGATAATGCACAAGTCATTCGAGCAGTCTTCTTGCATTGTTGGTCCTAGCAAAGTTTTGGCCCGCCGAGGTGTGCTGAACGATCTTTCAATGGATGCAGTTTAGTCCGTAAAAGCTCGACAATATATCCAACCACGTATTCAAAATACATATTTGCGTGGAAAGCAATTTAAAAGTTTGTATTATCTATATACAAAACGCTGGCTAGTTTTCGTCACTGAATCTTATTTCCAATGATGTTATTAAGGAATCTAGGTATGGGATATAAAGAGAGCATTGAAAGTATTCTCTCAGTGATGCAGCTACGTGGTTTGCCTTATATTTTTGTCGATCAACTATACGCGGGAGACGTAATTCAATATTCAAGGATTCAGTCATATTCGTTGCTGATTCTAAAAAGAGTGATTGTCAACGTATTCCTTGTGTTCTTTTGTTATTGTTACGATTTGTCTTATATGCTGAAGACACTTAATTACATCAGGGTGTTCCAACTGAAGTACGTTGGCCACTGACTCAAGAATCTTGCTATATTTCTCAATTAGGCATAATGACAGTATGAATGTGGCCTGTCCAGTTGCAGAATGCAATTGGAAAGCCGTAAGATTGTTGAAATTATATCAACATGTCGATATTGACGATATTTTATGCACAAATATCGTCTGGCTACCAGAAAAAATAGTTGTATGCTTTAGCGTTTTATATTTATATGGTTAATTTTAAACATCAGTTCAACAAACTTTAATATATTTACTGTTACTCCCAAAATTGAGCGCACGCCTCTTTTCTGTTAATATTCGCAATGTTTCACATGCTAAAACTTTTTTGTTAATTTTGTTTTAAAGTATGGCTTATGTTTTAGCAAATCCTATTTAAATCCAATATTGTCGGCCGCTGTGGTGTAGTGGTAAGCAGTGCGCGCTTTCACTCATCAGCACCTGGGTTTAAGCCCTGGTCAAAGCAACATCGCAAAAATATTATTATTATTATATAAGGTTTTTTCTTAACAGCGGTCGTCCCTCGGCAGGCAATGGCAAACCTCCGAGTGTATTTCTGCCATGAAAAACAGCTTCTCATAAAAATACAATCGCCGTTCGGAGTAGGCGTAAAACTGTATGTCCCTCCGCTTTGTGTGAAAACATCAGAGTGCACACCACAAGTCGGAGGAGAAGCTCGGTCAAACACTAACATATGTGTAAGCGCCAATCTATTATTATTATTATTTAAATCCAAGAATGATACTGTGTACAAAAATTAAGAAAAATCTGCATAGTTTCAGCAAAATCGCGAAGTTTTTAATACGAATTTCAAATCTCTATTTTCAGTAACAGTATGTGAGTTAATCTGCGCAATCGCTTAATATACAATGACTCAAACAAATGACCTCGTGTTGATTTTCTTCAAATATTCGTAATGTTTTTCGAGAGAATGTTTTTTTGGAGGCTACTTTTTCGGGTTTTTTTTTGAGTTGATATTTTGAAATTTTGTTGCTGACGGTCTCCCGCGTTTTATGTCATAAGAAAAACATGCTTATATAAAAAAAGTGCAAAAAACCGTCACCAAAAAAAAAACTCAAAAATCAACGCGATTTTTTAGCCGTTCGAAACTTACACTCCATCAGACTAAAATTGTATGGGCTATAAAACTGCATACCCTAAAAATTCAGAATAAAAAATTTAAATTTTGGTGAAAATTTGTTGAATTTTCCTAAATTGTGTATAAAATTTGAAAGTGTTCGCCTTGTTACTCACTGAACTGACCCAAAATATGTTAAAACTCATTCCACGGTAACCATTCAAAAATTCGCCAAATAGCGCTACAAAACACTTCCATGCACGTTTTTCTACAGAGCTTAGCTTGTTCAAAAACTCACTTCGCTCATAATTTTACGAATTTGAGGTCCTATGAAAATACCTAAAATTCATAAAAAGAAATAAAACCGATGAAAAAGTATTATATGGGAGAATAAAAAATTAATACCTTCTTTTATTTTAGCTTCACTTAATTTTGGGAACACCACTTTAAGATGGCAAAAATAAACATAAAATTTTTTTACAATTAGGGGTATTCTCGGAGTCTTGCAAAGCCCTTGCACGGTGCATGGATTGCACGAAACAAACCGGTTTTCCTATGGGACAGCTTTGCAAACTGTGCAATCCGTGCACCGCGCAGGGGCTTTGCAAGATTGTGAGAATACCCCTCTAGTTTAATATAACCTAGGTTTAAATGCAGCGGTAGTAGGACAACATTTTGAGCTTTGGCCAATGGGACGTTTAAAACGTTTTTCCTGCCTATTTGATCTGGCTCTCGGAATGGCCATACTTTGCGATCATAGAAAACGTCAAAGTAAAACAAAAAACGGTCAAGCAAACATTTTTGAGTTGTATAGCCAAAAATAATATTTTTTCAAAAATTTTGTTTTCATAAAAACATAAATAACTCAGTAAACTTTCATCAGATTTTTTTAAAATAAACACTCATTTTACTCGCTACTAAATTTAGTTTTATAATCAGATTAGGGCTAGTATGGTTTTCTTATAAGATAGTGTGTAAAAACTTCACCAAAGTTGAAAAAAGGTGAACAAGTAAAAAAAAAGTGTTTGCTGGGTTAATACACACAGATCTCTTAAGGTTTCTTTATTCACAGATATATCGTTCGAAAGGCCCAAGTTTCTTCGTTTTAAACCCGGCAATAAACCGAAACTCGGTTCACAATGAACCAAGTTACAGGATTATAAGTGCGCAAAAGTACGAAAACCCGTTTTTTTTAACGGTAAATCAAGATTTTGGGGGTGTTTGGCAAGTTTCATATTTTGATTCTTGTTTTACTCGAATAGACCTATCAGAAAATATACATAACTTCCCAGGTATTTTTTAGTGTTGTTATTATAATAAATTTGTATTACTGTTCGCTTCCATTACAGTCCAACGCGCAAATTTATTACCAAACAAATGTCGAATAAAACCAACAGATTTTTTTTTTACTTTTGTATATGGTTTCATCGAGTTCACTATAAAGACTGAGGCATAAACGTTTGAAAGAAATATGTGTTGAATCAAATCGGTCTTTTGTTAATGCGGTTTTTGCGTGGGTATAAACAAGTTATATGATTATGGACTTGGAAGTGAAAAAGACATGAACAAAGAATACATTTGATGAGGCGGCCTAGTTTTCGGAAGAGACTCTGCGAAAGATTTACGGGCCTTTACGCGTTGGCGATGGCGAATACGATGGTACGATGAGCTGTATGAGCTTTCCAACGATAGATAAAGACATAAGCTGAAATTAGTCAAGAACGCAGAACGTATACTTAAACGCAGTCTGTATACGCAGAATTTGTCGATAACTGGAGCCCTCAGTGTTGCTTACTACAGTGTTGCCATTCATCAATTCCTTTTCATAAATTTACCTTTTCAACTGCAATTTTTCGTGCTATAATAAATTGTAGCTAAATATAAACTACTTAGTTTTCAACAAAAAACCTTATTCAATAGTAAATTTCAAATATTTTAAACGTATTTTGAATAGGAACTTATAACTTTTTTACCATCTGCAAAACTGACGAAGTGGCAACCATCTATAGAAGGAAGAAATCAGCTGACACCGAAAAATCTAAATTCCGCAGATTTCTGCGCACGGGCTACAACTACAGAAAAATTCAGCTATGTTGACTTTTCATTTACATGGTTACAGCGCCAATGATTAAAAAGTAAATGTAAAAGTTCTTGAGTCTAGGGGTGGGCAGCTGCTCCACTTGCACTACACAAACCCCCCCTGTATACGCCCATGTTTGTACCTTAGGGTGGTCCTTAAAAATTCAAATGAGCAATTTTTTCATTCTCACCCTTTCAATCGGTAATTCCACGGTCACAGTTATCACATACAAATTTTGGTCCCGTTTGGTTAAGGCGTGTCGCACAGGGGCCAAAGTTCAGTTTCCTCTATAGAAACTCCAAAAATTAAAATTAATTTTTTTGCCAACCGATTGGAGTCGGTTAAGGCGTATCACAATGGGGTCGATGCTCCATCGAGACTCAAAAAATTAAATAAATGTTTTTCATTTAATACCCAAAATCGATACTACTAAGGCCGAAGATATCACATAAAAATTTTGGTTCCGATTAGAGTCGGTTAAGACCTGTTCATAGAGTAATCGGAATTTTGACCCCTGTGAGTCACGCCTTAACCGACTCCAATCGGGGCCAAAATTTGTATGTGATATTTTCGACTATATTAGTGTCGATTTTGGGTATTAGATGAAAAAAATAAGTTTAATTTTTTGAGTCTCTATAGAGGAATCTGAGCTTTGCCCCCTGTGCGACACGCCTTAACCGTCCCCAATCGGGACCCAAATTTATATGTGGTATCTTCGACTATTTTTTTTATTCGCCACTCGACTCACACACCTGCTCTCTGAGAGCACTCTTCAACAATCCGACGTACGCGAGCAGTGGAACCACATTTCCCGATCATTAAGTACCGCCGCCGAAGAAGTAGTTGGATTTCAGCGAGCCCGAAAGAACAACTGGTACGATGAGGAATGTCAAGAAGCCGCAGAGAAAAAAGATGCCGCCTACAGGGCCACGCTGCGATCGGGCGCAACGCGAGCCATGTGGGACCGTTATAGGGAACTGAAGAAGGAAGCGAGACGTATTTGCCGCAATAAGAAGAGAGAGGCCGAAATACGTGAGTGCGAAGAGCTTGAGATGCTGGCCGACAGGAAGAACGCCCGAAAATTCTACCAGAGGGTTAGGCGACTTACGGAAGGTTTCAAGACCGGGGCGAACTCCTGTAAGAACAACAATGGCGACCTAGTGACCGATGTCCAGAATATACTTAAATTGTGGAGGGAACACTTTTATAACCTACTGAATGGTAGCAGCGCTGAAAGTAGTGAGGAAGACGAACCCGAGTCCCCAGTCGATGATGATGGAGTAGCTGTCCCACCGCCTGACTATGACGAGGTACGAATAGCGATTACGCGGCTGAAAAACAACAAAGCTGCTGGAGCTGACGGCCTGCCAGCCGAGCTATTCAAGTACGGCGGCGAGGAGCTGATGAGGTGCATGCATCAGCTCGTATGCAGAATATGGTCAGATGAACGCATGCCCGACGACTGGAATTTAAGTGTGCTCTGCCCAATCCACAAGAAAGGCGACCCCGCCATACGCGCCAACTACCGCGGAATTAGCCTTCTAAGCATAGGTTACAAGGTCTTATCGAGCGTATTGTGCGAAAGACTGAAGCCCACCGTCAACGAGCTGATTGGACCTTATCAGTGTGGCTTTAGGCCTGGAAAATCCACCATAGATCAGGTATTCACAATACGCCAAATCTTGGAAAAGACCCGCGAGAATAGGATCGACACACACCATCTATTTGTCGATTTCAAAGCCGCTTTCGACAGCACGAAGAGAAGTTGCCTTTATGCCGCGATGTCTGAATTTGGTATCCCCGCGAAACTAATACGGCTGTGTAAAATGACGTTGAGCAATACCACCAGCTCCGTCAGAATAGGGAAGGACCTCTCCGAGCCGTTTGATACCAAACGAGGTTTCAGACAAGGGGACTCCCTTTCGTGTGATTTCTTTAATCTTATGTTGGAGAAGATAATAAGAGCCGCAGAACTGAACCGCTCAGGCACAATACTTTATAAGAGCGTACAATTGCTGGCGTATGCCGACGACATCGATATTATCGGTAAAAACAAGGGCTACGTCTGTTCTGCCTTCTCGGGATTGGATAGAGAAGCAAAGCGAATGGGTCTGGTGGTGAACGAGGACAAAACGAAGTATCTCCTGTCAGCACACAAACAGTCAGAGCATACGCGTCTTGGCACCCACGTCACTGTTGACAGTTACAAGTTTGAAAAAGTAGACGACTTCGTTTATTTGGGAACCAGCATTAACACCAATAATAATGTCAGCCTTGAAATCCAACGGAGAATCACTCTTGCCAACAAGTGCTACTTTGGGCTGAGTAGGCAATGGAGAAGTAAAGTCCTCTCTCGTCGTACAAAGATCACACTCTATAAGTCACTCATCATGCCTGTGCTGGTGTATGGCGCGGAAGCATGGACAATGAAAGCATCTGATGAGGCGGCTCTTGGAGTTTTCGAGAGAAAGATTCTGCGAAAGATTTACGGACCTTTACGCGTTGGTGATGGCGAATATCGCAGACGATTTAACGATGAGCTGTATGAGCTTTACAACGATATAGACATAGTGCAGCGAATTAAAATTCAGCGGCTCCGCTGGCTTGGCCATGTCGTTCGGATGGACAGAAACGCTCCTGCTCTGAAAATATTCAACGCGGGCCGCGATGCTGGGAACAGAGGAAGAGGAAGGCCTCCTCTGCGTTGGAAAGACCAGGTGGAGAAGGACTTGGCTTCACTTGGCATTTTCAATTGGCGTCAGTTAGCACAGAAGAGATATGACTGGCGTGCTGTTTTGGACTCGGCCAAAATCGCTTAGGCGGTTACAGCGCCAAATAAGAAGAAGAAGATCTTCGACTATAGTAGCATCGACGTAGGGGTTGAGGCTTAGGAAACCTGATGTAAAAATTTGCTTCCTACATTTAAGTACCACCCTAGGTACGTTGCTAAAAAAAACTTACTTTGTAATGCGATCTAATATTGTAGTTTCAGCTGGCACTGGAATAGGTTTACGGCTTTTATCAAAATGTATCACAAAATCGATCTAAAAAGCAATAAGGAATAGCAAATTTCTCATTTGACATTCAAAAGGAGAAATACTTACTTGATATCCGTAAGGTGTTATATGATTGCAGCTGAAGAAGCTTTCGTCGCTTAAAACCGCGGCTAGGAGCTTTTTTACATCGTCACCAAATTTTCCTTGAGTTTTAGTCTCTAAACCGTAGAAGAGAAAATGGTAAAAAAATAAAGTTTTTTATTAAAATATATTTTTTGCAATCCTAAAAAGCTTATGGCATTTTCGTTTCTACAAAAAATGTTGCCTTCTCATCGCCCTCTTCTTAGTGTTTGTGCGTAGAAGGCAAAGAGAAGGTTGTATTTTTCGGTAGAAACTAAATCGGCAATAATTTTAGGTTCTGCTTCTCAGCAGAATAAACTCAACATGATTTTCAAAATTAACTATTTGGTGCATCTGCTAGATTGTTCATAAATTGTTTTTGTAAAAAGAAAAACAAAGAACACCAAACCAACCATTTTTACCCTTTTTAAAAGAATGAGAAAAAATTACAATAAGCATGCACCATATAGGTTCAGAGCAAAGCACTTTAGATAGGCAATAGCACCAGAGCAAAATAAAACGCTGCATGTATTTTGTTGTTAATTTTTCACTCTAAAATGACAGAATAGGTAAACAAAAGCTGTAATTTTAGAGTAAAATGTGAACAAAAATTAAAATTCGGTCTTCAATATGCCTAGGTCAATTCAAAAATCTTGATATGTTTCAAAAAGACTTTTGACAAATTTTAGGGCCGTTTTCTCATGTGAGCAGTAAAGCAGGGCATGAATCACGTATTACGACAATCGTCTGGACGATATCGTGTTGAGATGATGAGATGAAAAACAAAAATTGTTTGATAGTTTGTGCGATATCGTCAACTCGATTCCAATTTTGCTTCACGCAACAAGTAGCAGCAACACAAATATATGAATCAGTGTTTTGACGACATCGTTTTGTCAGTATCGTTTCAAAGTTACGTGATTCATGCCCAGGGCAGATAAATTGCTCCTCGCTTTGAAGCGCATTACAAGCATTCTCATTTTCTCATCTAACCAGTAAAAATAAATTTCTTATTGCGAAATTACGACAACGCCAAAGTGAAACTGAATGCAACATAAGCAAAGAAAGAGCAAATGCAGCTGTTAGCCAAAAGCAAAACCTTGGATCAAATATCTAATATATCTGAATATCGAAAACCGAATCAAAAAATTGTGCTGGCAAGGTTTAAAGTTGAAAGTTAAAAGACATTTTTAAAAGCTACATCAGGTGAGGAACAATTTATCGATTCGACAAATTAATACGCTGATGAGAAAACGAAAGTTCGAAAATCAAGACGATAATGTGGCCGGTAATCTAAGGGTTAGATGAGAAAACGGTTCTTAGAAATCAATTGTTATATATCTCAACTTGTAAACAAAAATTACAATTTTTTTAAAAGTCAGGGTGAAATGCAAAAATCGTATGATAGAGAAAAGGGTGAAATCAAAATCTTATAAGCAATTTGAAAGGATATGAAATGGAAAGTGAAATATCCATAATGATGGTGTCACGATGGAATTTCGAATTTAGGTGTAATTTTTCCTATCTTCTTCTTCTTGACTGGCGTTTTAACCATATAAGCCATTTTCGTCGAGTCCAACAAAGACCGCCACGCATTTCTCTTCTGTGCCATCTGACGCCAATTGGAAATGCCAAGTGAAGCCAAGTCCTTCTCCAGGAGCTCTTTCAGAGCTAGAGCGTTCCTGTCCATTCATCCGACATGACTAAGCCAGCGTAGTCGCTGTATTTTAATTCAAGGCTGACAGTACTGTTGGTTAATGCTGATTCTTAAATAAATAAAGTCGTTTACTTTTTCAAACTTGTAACTGTCAACAGTGGCGTGGGTGCTGAGACGCTTATGCTCTGACTGTTGGTGTAATGTCCTCATTGACCACCAGATGGCTCGGAGAGGTCCTTCCCAATTCTGACGGAGATGGCGGTATTACGCAACGTCATTTTGCACAGCCGTATTAGTTTCGCGGGGATCCCAAATTCAGACCTCGCGGCATAAAGACAACTTCTTTTCGTGCTGTCCAAGCGAGTCTTTTTACAAGATTTGGCATATTGTGAAGACGTGGTATATGGTGGATTTGTCAGGTCTAAAGCCACACGGATAACACCCAATCAGTTTGTTGTCGGTGGACTTCAGTCTTTCACACAATAAGACCTTGTAACCTATAAGGCTGATCCCGCGGTAGTGGGCGGACATGGCGGAGTCGCCTTTATGCATAAGAGTTGATGCATGTGCTTTATTATCCAGGGACCGAAAATAATCGTTATCATGAAGGATTTTTATTTAAAAATCATTGTATAATCGTTATTTTTCGATTTATATAATTACGATTATTTTTAATCGTTATTTTATGATTTTTATTTTTTCAATCAAAAATAATGCCTATTTTTTAATTTTTATTTTTTCAATAATTTTTAATTGTCTTATGATTTTTATTTTTTTCCGATCAAAAATAATCATTATTCTTCGATTTTTATATTTTCGATCAATTTTAGGCGTTTTATGATCTTTATTTTTTCGATCATATTTTCAGTGTTAATCTTGTCTGATCGTAGAAAACCAAAAAAACTTGTAGTGTTGACAATTAAAGCAACAAACGTAGACTTGAGATAACCTCAGGAACCACAAAAAAGTTCAGCTGGAAAATTAAAGTAAAATTCTTTGATTCATTGCAGGTGATTGCCTTATTGATACCATTGATGGGCAAAATTTTATTTACTAAAAATTAAGTGCTATGTATTAAGGTATTTATGTTGTATTTAGTAAATATGTACCAAAGTACTATTTACTTAAGTATTTTGGATGTAACTAAATTCCGAGTAGGCTAGTTAATATTTACTTATTTTCACAGCGCTAAATACTTAATCTAAAATTATTTAGTTAGTTTCTCCAAATGCAACACCACGTACAAAAATACATTGAGACTTTGGCTTCGCTAACTACCGCGTACAAAAATATTTCGGTATTCTCGGGACTACTTCGGTATTTTTGAGACTATTTCTGGATATTCGATATCTTAGGGACTATTTAGGTTTTTTCGAGACTAAATATATTGATAAATGTGTACATATATCCATAAAAATATCGATCATTAATATCGATTAGTATATCGATAACAATATTGATAAATATAACAATAAAAATATCGACTGGTATATCGATAAATTTTTCGATAAAAATATCGATTATTATATCGATAAATACATCGATAACAATATGGATAATCATACGGATTATAGCATCGATAACAATATCGATAAATATAACAATTGCAAAATCATTAAATTTGACGATAAACATATCGATATCAAGATCGACAAATATAACAAAAATTTCGAAATAGTCCCGAAAATCATGAAATAGTCCCAGGAACCCCGAAATAGTCTCGAAAATCTCGAAATTGTCTCGATTCAATTTCTCCTAAATCATTAAGTATTTAGTATGTAAGTATTTAGCCATCTACCTTAGTACTTTAGTACCCGAGTACTTTGGACTAGAGTATTTAGCGCCTTTACTTTAGCATCTAACAGCTTCTAAAATGGCAAATTATTTTTTACCTTAGTATTTACCAACTCCTAAATACCTATTATTTTTTTTTTTTTTAGTATTTAGAGTAGAACAACTCAACGGACAGCAAGACGGCCTTGTCAGCTCACTGCAGGGATACGGGACACTATCCTGATTTTGATAATGTTACCACTCTTCAAGAAGAAAAGAATTATAATAAACGCTTTATTTTGGAAATGTTGCACATAATGGACACCCCTGATGACAAGAGGATCAACTATAAAACGGACACAGATACAGTGACGAGCAAAACTGTAACATGGTGTGACACTTTTTATTTCAGCCACCGCTATCTTTCCAAGTTCTAACGACATTCATACTTTTGTTGTATATTCTTATTGGTACACCTGTACTTCATCTCTCATAACCAATTGAAGTCAATCCAACAACAATAATAAAACCAGCAGACAAAAATGTAAATTAAGGCATATGTTACAGTTTTGCACTTATATATTTTTAATAACTTTTTGACAATTTTCTCGAAAAAAAAGAATTGTTAACACAATGTTCAGCATACTTTTGCTTTTTTTAGTTCCTGGATGCAATTTGGCATACCTTATTTGTATCTCTGTAAAAATTCAGGAGGTATAGCCTCCCATATATCCTTGGTTTGCTTTCATAGCTCATGTACTCCATTGGACGGACTTGGATACTTAGTAAGCTGCGCTTTTAGTTGATTTCGCAAATTTTCTACGAGTCTCATATCCGCGGATTGTGGAGGTCATTTCAGAATAGCAAATTGCTTTTGCATCCAGTCTTTGCGAACATATGCAGTATGTTTTGGGTGATTTTTCAGCAGAAACTCTCATTTTTCGACTACATCTTGTAAATTTTGTTGAAATATGAACAGATACTGTTCCTTACGCATAATGCGTACTAACGGACCAACAATATTTTTGAAATACAACCCCAAACTATTACTGACCGACCACTGTGATTCACAGTTTGCCCTACATGATGCACTTAGGCTTAATTTGGGTCTTTGATCCAATACCATGCCCGGCCATCTGATTGAAAGCGACTAATTTAGTCTTGTCAGACCAACTAACCTTCAATTAAATCTTAAAAATTTGTTTTTCTTTATTGCATTCTGTAAGGCCTAAAATATCCCAATAGGCAACGGTCCGGTTTTCGTGCGATCCGGCAAAATGCTACCACTCTCGCACATGTATTTTGATCAAAATGGGGTTTTCTTCTGTTATTATGCCTTTGTGGTTAATTTGACAATTCTTCGCCTCACTGTCTACTGATTTGCATTCAATTTTAATACTTTAAGCGCTTCTGTAATAGTGGCTTCAGCGCTACTTGCTACTAAGTTCACAAGATATCGGACCGTAATATTTTTTGGCTGACTTCCTTTGTCCTTAATAACATTTTAAGCTATATTTTTTCTCAGTCTTAACATTTTCATGTGCCGAACTCCACAATTTTTCGCCACTTTTCCTACGGTCCCGCGTTTCCGCAGCATTTATGTTTCCTGATTAACCATATTATTTACTGGTAATCACTTCTTGAATAAATTATAATACAGAAAAAAGT